AGTGAAAGTAAAGTGAGACGCTTAGTCAAAACTTAGTACTCACTCTTTATTCAATCTGTTTCATTAAAAGCAAACAATATCTTGTTTTAAAATTTTATTTTACAATGATGAATATTTAAGAAGATGTAATGACGCAATTCAATAATTCTCTGTAATGAACGCAATTCAATAATTTATTATTAAAATGTGTTTAGCTCTCCTACTTGCTTTCAACAGTGATCTTTGAGAAAATTCCGTGAGATAAATATAGCGATGAATCAGTTTCAGTTTGTTTTTAGTGATTTTCATGCAATATTTAATGTGAAAAATAGCGTTCAATTTATCTGAATTACTGACGACATAAAAGCGCATTCTCTTACTACAGCTTGTCCGTTCACATTATTGATAAAAAGTTCTCTCGCTGTCCCAAACTAAAACTGTTCAAATATTACAACAATGAATCAAGTTGCCTAATATTTAATTTATTCATCGATTTTTCACAGTATAAAACGCTTTTAAAGTGTTGTTCTTATCGACCCATGATTAACATGTATGCCAAAATGTCTTTCCTAGGAAACGATATACGTCTACGTTCTGCACATTTCATAATTTCTGACGGCTTCTCTAATCCTTTCCATTTTGACCAAACTGTTCAATGTATACTTCTTTCCGCCCAGGCGATGTAGACGCCGTTATAAATGCTACGCTGTCTAAACAAAATGGAGGTATGAACCTTTTATGATACCTTTATTTATTTAAAGAGGGTTGTACTTTGGAAAATACTGTTCGTCTAGGGATGAATCCGGTGGACGTAGTGATCGATGATGCATATGGTTTAAGAATGGTGGCACACTTTGATCACTTGAGCCTTGAGGGCATCCAACATTCACATGAAGAATGGCACTGGCCGATTGAGAAACGTATCGTTTCACCCCTGACATATTCAAGTTTTAGAAGAAAAGAAGGATCATCAGTACTTTGCAACCCAAAAAAACAAGGTAAATAAATTTATTTTGTACAAAGTGCCATACGTCAGAGTGGAATGAGAAAGTATGTTCTAGTGTTCCGAAGTGTCGTCTTTCTTTTCGTGTACCAGAGGTTCAGTTTAAACGTGCTTTTCTGGCACAAAAGACGATTTTACTACAATTCAATCAAAAAAGGAAAATTTTGTCTTTTTCACTGTGACACTGGAAAAGAAGATAAAATATTGAGCGTTCTCTGTAGGGATGTGACGAAAAGTATTTTACTTTAACATGAAATAAACCCGACCACAAAACATTTGATTTTTGCCTGAGTTATGAAAGTTTTCCTAACTACACCAAAACTGCAGTAGGAAAATGTTGATTTCGAGGAAAAGCAGTAGAAGAAAGTAGATTTTCTCACAACCGATTATGGTTACGAAGAATTTTAAATATAGCCACTTAATAGAGCTTTTTAAGGGCTACCATATGCCCATCTTCTTGCCTTTGTTTCACAAAATATGAAGGAGTGACTCAAAGTGAAAAAGTTGGTTTTTGGATTGCAAAATAATCGAGATTGGAGCGTCGCAGTATTTCTTCTACATTTTTTTTTTCTCTACAGTATATAAAAAAGTGTTTAATATATTTTTTGTAGAGAATTTCACGGCGCACCTTTTGAACAAACAATAAAGCTTAGAGGAAAAAATTTAACTGAGATATGAGCAAAACATTAAGTGACCGATTTATTCTGAAGCACCCGTTGGTTGAAATTATTTCTGGAACGGTCGGCCTTATGCCCCAGCTGTAGAGGTGTATCGAGCGCTAAATATATTATGATGTCTCCATGCATAAGTAACTATTTGAAAATGTAGGAAAACGAGTTAGTCAGAACTACCATTTTTCATGAAAATATTTGTCTGTATTTACATTCAGCACTAGTTCGACTGGGATTTGTTGCAAGCGTTTTGTTAGTGTTTTAGGTGCCGATTAAGCAGAAAGCCTCTTATATATCATGGTTAGAATCATTCACGGCCTTATGGAGCGATGAAATCAATTTATCACCGAGTCTTTGAGATTTTACTGTTGTTTGGTGTCAGGATGATGTTGTACAGGAAAACGAATGGATTGATACAATTCAGTTGTTAGAAAATAATTGTAAAATTTTGAAAATATTCAATGATTTAAGACAATGTATTAATTATTTGACTACAGATGAGAATAATAATTATTTAGTTTTAATCCTTTCAAATCAGTTTGATCAACATACATTGGTTCCAATGTTAAGAGATCTAATAACAGGAACAATGTTTATTTACCTTCTAAATAAAGACGCAGACAAATTTATACATTGTTCATTATCAGTATTTAGTGATGCAATGTTACTTGTTCTTGAAATAATACAAAATATCAAAGATATTCATAAAACAGAAATTCCATCTTCTACTAACACAACACGAATTATCAATACGAAGTTACTTAAATTTAAATGCTTGAAATTATTAATGGAAATTTTATACCGTACCCGACCTTCGTCTGGTTTAGCTAAGGAAAGAATGTTGCATGAGTGTCGACGGGATTATTCTTATGATCAAAATATACTAGCACATCTCGATGAATTTGAACAAAATTATAAATCATTTGAAGCAATACATTGGTACAAAAGTCATAATGGTTTTCTCTATCGTTGTATAAATACTGCAATTCAAAATAATAATATAACCGAATTATGGAATTATAGTTTTGCTATTGCTGATTTTTATGATCAACTAGAATTGGAAAATATAAAATTTAACAATAATTCGCTATTATTCGTAGAAGATCTCGTTGTTTATCGTGCACAATATATTGAACATAAACATTTGAAAAAATTTGTAATGAATCTTCGAAATTATTTTGCAATCGATACATTTATTTCAACTAGTATAAGCCGTATTGAGGCTTTAGCAAGAATTCTGATGATGCCAAATGATAAGAACAACATACGTGTAACTTTTGAAATTCATATTAACACAACATTATCCAAAAGAACATTTATTAATATTTCCAAACCAGATGACATAAAAGAAAATAGCGAATTTATATTTACAATTGGAAGTATATTTCAAATAAATTCTGTTAATAAATGCAGTTGTGGACGGTACTGGTCTGTTGTATTAACCTATTGTAATGACGAGTGTGCAATTGCCCAAAAGTTAAATAATTATTTTGATATAATTATGTTACAATTAATTGAAATATTACGGAGTGTATCAGATCGGACCGATACAATCAACAAGAAAATGTTGGAAAGATATCGATATTACTGTGCTGGTGATGATACTGAATTAGCAAGAATTGATGATTTCGAATTGAATTATCGTAATTGCGATGCAATACGATGGTATACGAAAGATTCATTTCTGTATCGGCTATTAAACAGTACACTTCGTCATAGCGATATAAACGCTATATTTGATTTTCGTTCTTATATTCTTGATCTATATGACCAATTAACAATTGTACATCTTGATTATCTTCGGTCATTACCAACTACTAATAAATTATCAACAGCTTATCGAGGGCAATTAATGCACATTAATGAAATAGAACTGTTGGAAAAAAATATTGATCGGCAAATATTATTTAATACATTTGTTTCATCAAGTCAATCATGTGATGTTGCATTGGTTTTTTGTGGGCAAGGTTTAGAACAAACACCACTTCTTGAATCGGTATTTTTTCACATTGAATATGATAACCGTTATAATGAAAGACGACCGTATGCCGATATTAAATTAAATAGCGTATTTTCAGATGATAATGAAATGTTATTCTCACAAGGTAGTCTATTTAAAATTGATTCGGTATCACAAGTGTGTACCAAAGTTTGGCTTATTAAATTAACTTTATGTGATCAAATTGATGATGAAGTAAATTCATTTATCAAATGTATAAATATTGCACTAAACAGAAGCACAACTGAAACAATCAAAGAGCTATTTAAGAGCTATTAATCGCTATACTCAGACAGACAGTGATTGTTGATGTCACAGATTTAAATAACATTCATACCACTTGTAGGTCTATATGTAAGGTGCCAATAATGCAAAAAAAGAGCAGAATTTCCTTTTCGTTTTCGCTGCTATAGTTGGATAGACCTCATCGAGCCAGATAGAAAAAAGTCCATATTAGACTTTCTGAAGTCACTTTTGGATGAAAAGTTTTCAACATATTGATTTTTAAAATGTGGCAACAATACATGAAATTCTGGGAAATAAGCAAAATTGTCATATGTTTCCTAATCTATGATCTAGAACCTAATTTTTCTGATTCGGCATGCAAAAATGACTACACATTATTACATGTTCGCAAAAACATATCTGAATTTCTAGAGAAAAGGCCTTCAGGATTTTTACATATTCGGAATCAGCGCGCCGAGTTACATTGAACGGCGCAATGATCTCGTCCGAGTACCTGCGTTTTATGAACCCGGATTCACTACTGCGAGTTTCCATGGTATCTCGCACTATATTTAACAGCAGATATCTTTTTTTCTGCTCTTTATGGCATTTTTGTTTGCTCTGATGTTTTTTCTTTCTATGCACACTACAGTAGAAATAAAAATCCTATTTTTATTAGATGGTCACCACGTTTGCACAATGTTCATTTTCACCCTAAGAGTTCCTGTGTTTTGAATCGACTGTCTTTTCTCATATACATCTCACCTGCGTTAGTCAACTACACAGTTTTGCACAGAATCTCTACAGCTCTATTGACTTATGATTAGCGCTAGAGATATCCGACCCGACCGGAAGGTTCGATACAATACAACGATATTTCCGCGAACCGACATTACCGCGGAGACTTGTTTATTGGAAAAGAAGAATAAATGAGTCTGTAATATATATTACATCATACAGATATATATAACATTCCTTGACCCTTTGTATCTCTCAGTCAGTATATTCTTGACATGTACACACTTCTAAAAGTTTAAAAAAGAATTGCTTGAGAACGCAATGATAATTTGACATCTTCAGCCGAAAAGAAAAGTTTTTAGCTGGAAAACAAAAAGGAGAAAATTTTTAGGTATAAGTCGGGTACAGGTGGAAAAACAAATTTTGGGTACGGGTACGAAAATGGTATTCGTGCACATCTCTACTTTAGGCATATGTTGTACATCGCAAAGGGAAGACTTTCTAAGTAGCGTCGAGACGGGCGAAGAGGGTCTGTGTGCCTCGCATAACTCTGTGTTCACTTTAAGCGTGTGATTCGATTTCTAGCGATCCCTAGAAGATGTGCAGAATGCTCTCGCTGGGCACACATCTTATCAAATACTTACCCAAAAACGGAAATTAATCTCCTTGCGTACACTAAGGACAAATATCGTAGTTACATGTTGTTTACAAGCGAATTTCTCCTTGACTGACCATTAACAAGGTGGAAGCGAAACAACTGAACGCTTGAATAACACCCTCACCCCAATAAATAAAGAAAAACCACAGCTCTTTATAATGAACTATATTTTAAAAAAATTGTACAAAGTTTGATCATTTCTACAAAAATCAGTTTTGAGAAAAACTACTGTGTGAAAAATAAAACAAGCCACCGGTTGCTTTTTGAATGTATATTAAAATTATGCCTGAAAATTAAAAAGCTGTGAAGGATGTGATTTACAAGACAGTATTGAATGACTTTTTGACTTGTTGTTGAATAAATCTAATTCTGGTGCTATTAATACTGTAGCTCATTTTGTAGACAATTGATCGCCCTATAAATTGCGTTAAAATTGTTCTATTATAACAGGATTTGACTGCGTGGTAGCTATTTTACTGGAAAAAATTAAGTGTCTTAACCTAACAAATTTCAATAAGTTGAATATTTTCTGCTCGTTCGATTCATGTGTAACTCGGATTTTTAAAATAGGGAACAAAACAAAGAAAAATTAAAATATGATAAAAGTCTACTTTTTCGATTTTGTTTTCTGGAGCTTCTTGTATAAAATCAGTAAGTCACTCATTTTTAGGCTCTAAGCTTTAAAAACTTGGGTTTATGGGTAACGCTTTATCTAATGAGATCATAAAAAATCCTTTTAATTTTTAATCATGTTACAAGTACGTTGAGTGATCCTTGGTATCCCTTACGAATCCTCTCTTAAGATAGCTCTAAGGAACAGAAAAGCAGAGTATTATGAACATTGTTATAGAAGAATTGCTCAATCTGTCGAATGAAACTGTTTTCTGGTCGCCTAAATGTCTCTGAAAAAATCTGAAAAATTTTAGGCGCTTACCTGAAAACTTGGCTGGTATTTCGATTGTTTTACTTTCACCCCTGTCTTTTGCTTTAAACGTTCTTTAACACAAACGAAATGGAGAAAAATCAAATATTTTTTTCAAAATTACGTATGTCATTGTTACGCTTTAATCGTCGACTCATTTTTCTTTCGAGGCAAAGATTCAAAGACTATGGCATGTTCTCTATAAAATCTATATCCGTTTATTCTACCACTGAATGATGACGATGAATATAATATTCCACTGTTCCACACACGATGATGATAATAATAATTTAACAAGCCACCTTGAGCCGAAAATTACAACAATTGCTGCATGTAAGGCAGAAAGAGTCAATTTACATGAAGATGAAGCATACAGTCGTTTATCATCAATTGATATATTAATTTTTGGTCGCTCTGGAGTAGGTAAATCTTGTCTATTAAAAGCTATAACAAACCATGCTAATTTTTCGGACGTCAGTACAACTAGATCATAGTACAAAAAGATTAGAATCATTTACAAAAAAATTAGAAAATTAAGTTTTCGTTTTTGGGATACAAAAAGTATTGATTCTTGGTTAAATTCGGATGATGTAATAAGTTTGCTTAAAGTAATTAAAAAAAAAAAAATACAACCATTATTTATTGCTCCAGTGGTGACGGTAGAATGAATAGTCATATTGTTAGTCTTATCTTAAAATTAAGTCTTACGTATGATTTAACAGGAATCAAGACACCAATTGCATATTTTATTACTAATATCTATAATTACAGTAATGAACAACCACAAGCTCAAATTGATGGTGAACTCAGTATAATGAGAGACGTTTATCTGAATAATTCAACACAGAAAACTAAATATTATTATGAGATGTATTGACTTATACAGATGAAAATATTATTCGTGATGGTAAAGATATTTTAATTGATGGTTAACCCTGAACAAAACGTTTTTGGAAATTCTTATGGAAATTTTATCCGAATCTTATAATAATGTTAAATAGGAAAACGCTCGAAAGTACCACGAATTTCGTAAGAGTCTTATAAGAGATTTGTAAAAACTTCGTAAGAAATTGATAAGCCTTTTCACATTATTCTTATCTATCTTGATGTGTAGTAATGAGTGTAATAACTTGCTATCCGATGGTGACTCATGTGAGTACTATACAAACGGTTCTTTTATAGCTGCTTCTAGTACTTTATCAAGACAAGTATGTAAAGGATTTTGATGCATATTACTAGTACTCGAGCTGCTCTATCTTCTATCACTTAGAGAGTCCGAATTGAATGTCACCTTTATAGAAGAAAAAAGACTAAAAGCTTCGTATTTTGTTTAAGATCAGTTTTCGAAAAAGTGGAATTTATGCCAACATGCGATATATCGTGCTCTCTATTTTCTTCGTATGTAATTTAATTTTTTCGAGCTTTATTCTCGTCCTGCAGTGAAGAATACCGCCAGTCTACAGCCAGTGGAGGCTTAGAACGAGTGATGAAGCTTTCTAGAACCAAGGTGCCATCATAGAAAAACGGAAAAAATTGTTGTCCTCTTACGTCAACATGTGGAGCAGCTTTTCCAGCCTCTGCATATCATCGTTGGATATGCAACTCTGCAGTTGTGACTCGAAAGTCATTTATAGAGCGTTTCAAAGATATTTGGAGTGTATTTCTCAGAACAGCGGATTTTGATTGCCAAGAATGGTGGTTAGACTTCAAGACAAGTCCAACACTGCTATTACAAGATGAGACGCATGAGATGGTGAAAGAGTCCCGGTGCGAATTATTTAGTTTACAAAAAAGTTACCGTCGTTTAGCTACCAACCCATCACCGGATGATTTGGTCTTGATGAATAACATACACAACCAAATCCTGGAAAATTTGAAAAAAAATGCTCTCGCAAAACCTCCTGGAAAATATGAAAGGAACGTCAAAGATTTGAGCCTGATCGCAAAAACAATTATGGCCAGCACAAAAGCTAGCCAAACTCGTATTCCCTTTTTGTTACATCCTACGAAAGGAGAAGTAGAGTCAACATCAGAGATGCTGACGGTAGCCACTGATTTCTATACGGATCTGTACAGTGAAAAACCAGCCGATCGTGGAGTATGGAATAGTTTCTTCTCCGGTTTACCGACACTCAGTCGTCAAAATATTGATAAACTAGAAAAGGAAATCACAGTTGTGGAATGCTATGACGCTCTCAAGGAAATGACGATAGGTCGATGTCCAGGTGATGATGGGATTACGGTAGACGTGTGGAGAGTAATATTCCCCATCACTGGCGAATATTATGTGAAAATGATCAATGCTGCATGGGCAAACCAACGATTCCACTCATCCTTTTTGCGTACCATTTTAACTTTGCTAAAAAAAGAAGGATCGATTGAAGGATCGATGAAGGGTTTCCGGCCACTATCATTGATGAATATCGATTACAAAACACTCTCGAAAGTGATGAGTAACAGACTACGAGCAGTGGTAGGCACAATAGTTCGCCCTGACCAAACTTGCTCGATCCCCGGTAGAACGATACAAGACAATGTGCACTTAATCAGGTCGATTATTGAGTATTACTCAAGGAATCGTGAGCCACTAGATATCATTTTATGGGATCAAGAGAAGGCTTTCGATAGGGTCAATTACCGTTACCTCTTCGAGGTATTACGGAAGTTCGGATTTGGACACAATTTTATCCGTTGGATAAGGCTAATGTATACCGGAGCCACTTTTCGAATTAAAATAAATGATGCGATAACACAACCCATCGATTTCGAGTCTGGAGTACGTCAAGGTTGCTCGTTATTTGGTATTATATATATATAGCATGCCTCGAACCTCTATTACATAACATCAGAAATAATCCAAAAACCCCAGGTATCATTCCACCAAGGGCACAGAACGAAGCTGTACGAAGGAAGGCTTTCCCTTATGACGGAATTGATAGTACAATAAAAACAATAGCATATGCTGATGATATTGATACTATTGTTTTCAATAGAGATGAGGAGGCGGAGACTATCAAGATGTTTGATCTCTACAACAAGACATCAGGTGGAAAAACAAATGTTGAGAAGACCAATGTTTTTTGGATTAGTGACTGGCTACCACTACCAGCATTCCAAGGACAAGTTAAACTTGACTGGTGCCGTTTCTTAGGTGTGCCGATCAACAAACGGGGCCATTTTCCAGCTTCTGAATTAGTTAAACTCAAATCAAAATGTCTTTGAAACAAAACTTGGGGATGTGGTCGCAAGTTAGCCTTTCTCATTTGGAGAGAAGTACAATATTGAAAGTTTTCTCTCTTAGTTGTATCGTCTACCGTTTTTCCCTCATCACAGCCCACTCAACCACTATTAATGAACTGCAAAATATCGCAAATGCTTTTGTGTGGCGAGGCAAACACCCCACAATTAATTGTAAAACTATAATTGGAAAAAAAGTGGATGGAGGATTTGCCTTATTAGATATTAAAACAATGGTAGAAGGGTTTAGAATCAAATGTGGCCTACATCTAATGTCTAATACTCCAGCGAAGTGGAATTTTATGCTCTGCAATCCATGGCCACTCAGTTACAGTGTTCTGAGCGTTCATTATGGTCAAACTTGGTACCGCATATACAGCAGGGAACTAGTCTTTTTCATGAAGCTGCGGATAGAACAGCGAAATGGTTAATGGATGGGAACGTATCCATCATCTCAGAAACAGGTTTATCCATTTATTGGCAGCTCATCTATAAGTATCATTTTCGATTACCAGTGTGCTACTGGAGAATGAATCATCTCAAAAATATGCATTTTTCTAAACTCCTACTGTCGAGTAAAATGCTAACACACGCACATGAGACATGAGATTTGGGTGAAATTAGTGAACAACGCACTACACATACAGGCGCGAGGTGGTTGAACGGAACAGGAAAAACAATGTGTATTTTGTGATCAACCTGAATCAGCTTATCATCTATGGATCGAGTGTATTTTTTTCAAACCAGTGTATGAACTGCTCCGTCACTCGTTTGCCGATGGGACTAATGTGTCTGTTGAGCGAGAGATGAATAAAATTGTCTACCTTAAAAATATTCTTTCGTATGATCTCACTGCAGCACAACATAAAAATATAATTTTTCGAATCGGAAATTTCATTAAAACAATTTGGAGTTATCGAAATGCAGTCCTTTTCGATAAAGCTTCGAGACACATTAATATGGTGACAAGAATTTTTCTTACATCTATAAAGCATCTCCATTTCGACAACGGTTAACTACACGTAGTATGATTACCTAACATGATAATAATTGAAGCAAAATGTAAATTTGCCCTACCGATTTTGTTTTTTGACATCATTCTTAAAGGAAATACAAATTGGCGTAAACATGTTTAAAACATTTTCGTTAGCTTCCATTAGGTATTTTTTTCATTTGTTCGTCCCGTGTTTTCGTTTTTGTCAAATATGGTTTAAAACCGATGTTTGCACACATCTACTGATTTCGATTTTCCTTAGATATTCCAGCTTCATTTGCTTTGACGTTATTTCGTAAATTGACAAATATTGTTAAAATGTTTCGAAATATAGTTTAGTAGAAATATAACAACTATTAAGGCTAGAGCTTTGCAAGGACATGGAAATTCCCTTGGCCGTGGGCATTGACGGGTACGGGCAGGCTCGAAAAAGACATGGACGGGCACGGGCAGGCTCGAAAAAGACATGGACGGGCACGGGCAAAGAATTCTTGCCCGTCAGATCTCTAGTTAAGACATATAGAGAGGTTTAACTTCGGCGTTATTCATGTTTAACAGTTTGTAAAAGTAGTAAGGTGCTAGTAATTCAAAGTTACGACACATTTTATTTTTAGCTTAAACACACATTTATAGAATCGCTATTTCACGCTGATCATGAATCTGACCTTATTTTTTATTTTAGACAAAGTATTGATAGAGAAAAACGCGGAACACTGAGAATGTCTCAAAATCGGTAAAAGGCTTGCTTATCGAAAAACATCTCTAATTTTCTTATTCCTTGACTTCTCGCCTTTTTTTCGAATTCTTATGTTGAAAAATGATCGAGATTTTTAGCTCAAAATGAAAAAATTCGAAAAACATTAAAACGGTCGCAAAGGATACAAATACATATCATCCGACTCAGTTTTTGATCCTGATTCCGAATATGGTATTTTAATTCCATAGAAGTTGAGTTCTGGTAGAGAAAACCGAGAATGATCTGCAGAATTTTGAGTTTTTCGCCTCTGATTTAGAAAAAATGATTTTTCTCAGTAGAGAAAAGAAAAGAAAAAAGAATACTTTTAAAGCGCTTCATACGGCGATTCGAATGCCGTATGAATAAGGTGCTGACACAAAAGCTAGATAGGTTTTTCAGATTAAGTAGTGCAAACGGAGGGTTCTGTGGCATAGGTTTACAGACCGGCTACGTTATATGCGATCGGGCTCTAGATAACCTTTTTAGAGTGATTTTTATAGGAATCCAAAAAGTGAAGGGATAAGGAAATTAGAGATGTTTTTCGATAGGCAAGCTCTTTACCGATTTTGAGACATTCTCAGTGTTCCGCGTTTTTCTCTATCAATACTTTGTCTAAAATAAAAAGTAAGGTCAGATTCGTGATCAGCGTGAAATAGCGATTCTATAAATGTGTGTTTAAGCTAAAAATAAAATGTGTTGTAACTTTGAATTAGTGGCGCCCTATAATAAAACGAGTTAACGCACGTGTAATAAATACATGATACTCTGTTGTATAACAGTGGGCCTGTAGCAACAAATGTAAATGTTAAAACTTTGGTCCAAAAAGAGACATTTTACATTTAAAATGTAAAATGTCTCTTTTTGGACCAAAGTTTTAACATTTACATTTGTTGCTACAGGCCTAGTAAGA